AAAAAAAAAACGTTTGAAAAAAAATGTTGATTCTACGATATCAGGCATGAAGTGGCGGTAAGGAAAAAAAGGAAACCGGGGGTAAAAGGTCCAGCCTGCAAATAAACCATTGTCTGGGCTCCGCAGATGCGTGAAGCTCTATAGAGCGTGATGGAGTGCATGACGGTGCTCCAGGTGTAAACCAGGATGGGTATTGTCCAGGGACGAACAGCAATCGAGTTTGCGTGTGAACCATCGTGGGTGATGCGAGAGCGATCACTCAGAACTGGCGGTAGTCCAGCGATGAACGGCGATTCTCCACCCTCGAGAGCGAGGAGACCATTACCGGACGCGCAAACGAGGACCCCGGAGACAAGGGAAGGTGCTGCAGAGCATGGCGACGGTTCAGGTGGTTTCGCAGATGGTTCAGCGCGGTGAAGCTGAGCGGCTGTTCCAGACAATGGCGGTGGATTTCGTCATACCATTACTGCAAAGTCGGCGGGTCAACTTACTGCTCTTCCAGTGCGCTTTCGTGGGTTATGGCATCGCCAAGGCGATGTCTGACACCTCCACGTTTAGATTGGTTCTGGCATTGGAGGAGTATATATATATATATACGAACGCTTCAAAACTGCTGTGGTGATTCAGCATGACCGTGACCTTCGCGTCATGAGCGAAGGGTTCAAACATTTGCGAAGATGATGCAATCGCACTCAAGAGCGACACTAAGCAAACAAGAGCAATTAGTAGAGTCAGTGTGGCGTCAGTGAAGGTTTCGTAGAAGATCCCTTGCAGCAAGCCTGGGACGATTTCGTGGAGTGAAGGGTATTTGCAATCAACAAAGCAATGGATACTAACCGCAACGAGACACTGTTTTACCTCTTTCATGGTTGGGATGCGCGACCCACGCTGAAGGCAATGATAACGTTGGTGCAGTGAGATTTTGAATATATGTCCGATGCGTTGGCCTGACGACAAGAAGCGAAGTGGTAGCAGAAATAGTGTTAGCCACAGTACAGGCGTACCAAGCCTCGGGGTAGTCGCGTCCAACAAACAAACAAAAATAAACGAAGCGTTGGTCCGGATGAGGAAGGTGTCTCTCCAACGAGGTGGACGTGATTGTCCGCCACGCAATGCTTCAAGCCCAAGAAGACTGGGCAGCGTCGGGTCAAGAACGAGCGACGACTGTCCTAGAAATTGGGAGCCGTGTTTGGCTATACATGGAGGGAGTGAGGCCGGGATTGGTGAAGAAACTTGCGCACTTCTAGCATGGACCGTTTCGGGTAGTAGGGGAGTTCGCCTACGAGCTCGACCAGCGAGGGTCCCGACTTGAATTGGATAATATAAATTTATAGTTAAAAAAAAGTTTTAGTTTTGGAAAGCATCAGTTATCAGCGTAGTGTAGTGGTTATCACGTCTGCTTTACACGCAGAAGGTCGCCGGTTCGAACCCGGCCGTTGATACATTTTAATTTTTTTTACAATTGGTTCAGGCTAGGGTTGGATTCGGAAAAAAAATGGCCCCAGAGCGACACAGAATTTTGGCCAAATTCAAGTCAGTTTTCTCACAACCACCATTTTTGTCTACCACTATCGAACTAGAGTCTTCAACCAACGGTTTTGCAGAATACACTTTAGGTTTGACAAGGCAGGCATCCTTCAGCTTGCTGTATTATTCGCCCTCCCAGAGTTGTTCGTTATTACTGGTATCGCGACAGACTACATCGCACGGAGGCCCTTGCATCCTGTTGTACCAGACAAAGTATCCACACCGCAAATACGACGCTCTTACCAAGATTGGTAGCTCGGAAGCAGATATTAGTCGACACTTAGGAAATAACGGAAAGTGCCAATTCAGTGCGCGAAATTGGATGAACTGGGAAAGCGAACGATGTATCAGTGTTAGCAGGTGTGATGTCACACGCTCGCGTGGCTCCGGATGGTGTGCAGGTGTGGGACAAGGTTGCGCGACCTCAGATGTCGCGTTGATGGGCTGGATATGGTTGCATATGG